TGCGCCCACGGCTGCCGCAGGAATCCCTCCTCGGGAGGCAGCCTGGCGCAGCGCGCGCGAGAGCAACTGGGAGAGGAAGCTGATGAGGGGAAACGGGCCAGCCGCTGACCATGCCCTCCAGCGCTGCCTCTGCGCCCTCCTCCAGAGCCGCTGGGGACTCGGCTCCAGCTCGGTCCTTCCCCTCTCAGCTGTCCGGGCTGCCAGGCCTCCCGCTGACCCTCCCTGGCACTGCCCAGCCCTCCAGGGCACCTCAGGCCCTTGCCCTGTCATTACAGCCAGGTCCAGTTACACCAGTAGCTCTGTGTGCACTTCCCTCCACACAGCTGCTCTCAGACCTGCCCAAGCCGAACACAGAGGCAAAGGCCAAAGCCCGAGGGCCTTTTACCTCCACCCTTCCCCTCTTGCACCTCACGTACTCACTGTGCCCCCCTGCGCTGCTGGCACTGCTTCAGCTACCCAGCAGCAAGGCCCTCCGCTCCACACCACAGTTTGACAGCACTTACTGGCTTCTCCCACTGGCAGTCAGAAACTAGGCAGCATTTAACACAGCTTAACCTTCTCCTTGTCCCTCCGCCAGGCTCCTTCCCCCGGCTCCTCTTCAGCACCTTCATCCCTACCCTCATCTCTGATCTCTCCAGGCCACAGGGACACCCCAGAATCACAGTGGGCAGGCACCAGGACTGCAGCATGACTTGCTTTGTGAGCGATGGCCTTCCTGCAGTGAACTGCTACCCAAGAAGTCTGACAGGCAGGTACATCCCCCTGCCCTGCCTATGCGAGTGAGCACATCTGTGTGCACAACATCCCCATGTCACTGGGGACACGGGACTCCAGGGCTCTGGCTCATTCAGGGCTCTGACCCAAATTGTGCTGCAAGGGTAGCAAAATGTGTGAGACGCTGCATCCTCCTTGGACTCTGACCCTTGAAACGGTCACGGTGCTAAATCAGTCACTTTGCTGAGTGGAGGACAGGCCCTCTCAGGGCCCTGCCAGCAGCCACCAAAAGGTCCAGTGCAATCCTTACCTTCCTTCTCCTGGAGCAGGGAGTAACACTGGAGCAGGACTTGTGACAGCAGCTGGATTCCTCGCCCTCGCGCCCGAGGATCTGTGTTCTCCAGGCAAGACCTAGCCAATCGTGAGGGAAAAGCCTCTTATGAGCAGGGACACTAGAGCAGGAAACGAACCCCAAGCAAACCCTGAGACGCAGAAGCGCCGCTGCGCAGGCAGGGAACGCACGGCGCCTTCCTGCTGCCCTGGCTCCCTGCAGCTCGCAGGCGGGAGCCGCAGCGCGACGCGGAGCC